GCCTTCAACACTTACAACGCCAACACTTACCTGTTAGGGTGGATGCCGTCGGTTTCGCTGATTTTTTCTCTAGAAAAGAATATGAAAATTCACTTGTCATTGTAATTTGGTGATTTTATATCCTATTTTAAATGGAGCGCATAGCAATGGTAACAGTGTGGTATCTATACATGGAAAAAAAAAGGAAAAAAAATATATATATAAACGAATAAATAGATATATTAAAATAATTTAGCCAATTGTATAACAAGAAGTCCTTATTGGCTCACTATTAGGATCCAAAGTGACTTCACGGTCTATCTAGCATTTATACTATGTTATGTAATTTTTTTAGCCTTCTTCCTCGGTGTAACTGAGTTTCTAGGGAAGGACTGGGCCGTAATACGATTTACTTATTCTTATTCTCAGTTTCGTGTAATGTGAATAAAGGGTCTATTACCTCCTCTACCTGTCAATTCACATATGAATCCTGAATTTACGATGGGAAGGGTACAGGGGACATCATTATAGCGCCCAAAGTTATTAGAAAAATTTCCGTACATCTGCGCGCAGCTCTCTTCAGTATTTCCGTTGCTTGGTTGTCCAGTTGCCCAGGGCCAATCTCCTTTATTGGACGCATCGACTGTGCTGTTATCACTTAACCATCTCCACACTCCAGTTGATGTATCTTTCCATAAACCTATGAAGTATTCATTGGTAATCTCTTTATGGATGGTTCGATTCAGGAAGTTCCATTCTTCACGACTCTCAATAGAAACAAGGTTATATCCAGACTTTTCACATATTTTTTTGCTTCCTTCCCAATTGTACCAGTAACCATTGCTCCTATAGAAAATGTAGCTGGAACCATTGAAGTTCTTCTTCACGGTAGCTGAATGTAGAATTAATATTCTTTGGAGTAAAATAGCATCCAAAACCAACTTAGGTGAACGTTTATTTAACTGTATTCGATTGTAAACAGCTCTTTTTGGTCGCTGTAGGTATGGATCTAAATCGGAATCAATCCATTGTTTTCCTTGCTTTGTTTTGTATTTTGCTTCTTGTTTTTTGTTTTTATTTGTTGTTGTCTTTTGTTTGCTATGTGATTAGCTTCATACGAAGAATATTTGCTCCACTTTCAAACATCCACTCCTTACCGATCTGTCGAATGAGTATTCTTCTTAATATAATTTAGGTTAATTTTAATGTTGGATCCTAAGCGCTAATGTGTGGAACAAGCACAATGACTGTTGTGCACTAATTTTATTGAACTATTTTTTCAACCAGCTCACCTGAACAACACAAAACTTTAATTTCGCCTTTTTTTACCAAAAAATGGCTATATCGATCGTAAATTTAAAATGGTTTCGTGGTGTCTGTGTTTCGACGATAAATTCTACAACTATTACAAAATTCGAAAACGAAAACACAACGACTAAACGTACTGTTTTTTTGTCTGAACTCTGCGACTGCTGAACAACAACTAACCGACACGACCGATTCGAGTAGTAATTAGTTAAGACTTTCATTCTACCACTATTAAAAAATTCGAAAACAAAACACAGCGACTAAACGTAGTTTTTTTTTTTTTTTTATGGCCGAACTCTGCGACTGCTGAACGACGACTAACTGACAAGACCGATTCGAATATTAATAATAACAGACGGCGTTAATGACCAAGCGTTCACCGGAACAGTCTGAATACATTTTGGTATCTAAAGTGCTGTGGGCGCTATTTGTCCGGCCAATTACAGTACCATCCTTTTTTCTTTTAATAAGCAAGCATACTTAATAGTCAGCTTTCCAAAGGAAAAAAAAAAAGAAAAAAAAACAGAAAAAGGAAAAAACATGTAGATGTTAGTCTAAACATTGTGCTTACCAGCACCACTCTTTACGTAAATGGCTCTAGTTAGCACAAGAAGAGCAGAATATATCGTAAAACACACTTTCCCCATTTCAACAAACAACTGTCTCCCACAGAGTGCTCCAGCTCTAAAAACAAAACTGTTTGTAAATCGTGTTATGATATGTGTATCAGGTGCTTCAGTTCTACACTTGTAATTTCGTCCAAGTAGAGCTAAGACGAGACTGTCAAAACAAAAGACACGCACGTGTCTCAAGCACGAATGTAGTTTTACTCTTTCAGCATCTGAAACATAATCTTTGTTTTCCTCTTTGATTAGCCTATAGCAACTTTTTCTACAATTTCCTTCAGAGCTTATCAGCATAAACATTGTTGTGTTTAGCCTGAAAAGAGTCTGAGATTTCACAGACTACTTTTAGCAGTTTCTATTCTATTTCTATCGTTGGACAGAAATGAAAGTTCTGTTTAAGCACTGACTGATAAAAAATAAGAGTACTTTCGATGTAGACGCTTTACATAGACATTCACGGTTATTACTATACCTTCTTTTTTTGATATAAACATATATATATATTTTTCAATTTTCAGGGGTAAATGAAAGCAGGCAATAAGCAGGCAACCATCAAAAGGAGTTAGATTAAAAACCGAAAGCTCTGTCTTCCGACAAAAACAAACACACGTAGAGCTAATGAGTGAAACATTGAGGCAGTTTTTTAGCTGGGTAAGAAATGGCTCCGAAAACCCCTTGCGCGGTCCAAAATATGAGCTGATATTTGTTCCACTCTCAAAATAGTTTCCAAACGAAAATTCTTGAGCATAGCTGTCGTTAATCTATTTGAGAATTTTATTCCATTTGATCGTAAACGATAATTGGAAGCAACAAACAACTGCACTCGAAGATTTACCCGCTATAGTGTGTTTGATGCAAACCGACATACGCTAGTGAAACGGTGTGGCTGTTTTTTTTCATCAACAAGAAAATGGCTTCACCAAAATGTTCTCTGCTGACGCAAATACAACTTCAGATTTGCCGCACTCTATATCCTCCAAATGACAATCCGTGAGAGTAGTTACCGTGAATCCGATAGAAGATGCTTATTCCATTTGATCATAGACAATATGTTGAATTGGACAAACGACAACTACGCTCGAAGCTTTCCCGTCATTATTTCTTTCATAAGAACCATCCCCTGAAATATCATGCTTTTCCAAAAAACAGTTGGCGACACGGCCATTTAATCCGTTCCAGAAACCAGTGTAGAAATTGCTTCTTTTTGTTCCGATTTTAATGCGCGAGATATTTTAAATTCCTTGCTTGCTCGAGAGCGAAATCGAAACTAGTAACTTCTCAATCAGAGTTCCCCATCTTTCTCTTTGTTCAGAAAGAGCAAAATGTCAGAATGACGTTCAAATGACACATTTGACTTATGATTGACAGCTGGAGCTTAACCGCACCAATCAGGAACTCCGTTCGTGGGCGAACAGAGTTTTGCAAAATAACAATGACTTCGGGCAGGCGTAATCTTCACTTCCTCACCCCCACCCTTCTCCTTATTTTTGACCGACGACCGCCCCCTTGGTACAGCCTTCAGCTGCCATTGAAATCAAAGATGGCGGCCATAATTTTCGTTAGGGAAATACTGAGCACTCGCTCGCCAAAATTACGCCTGCTCTGCAGGTTAACAATTACGCAGTTTTGTCTTTTGTTCTCTAACTACAAGTGATATATTCCGTTAAGGAAACACCAGTTGAAAGTTACATTTCTTAGGATGAATTCAGACTGACACATTTATTAAGTTAATCGATTAATTGCTACAGAAGTGTCATGAATTAATTTTGAAGTTACAAAAAAGAGATTTACGAAGGAGTTTAGGGCTCAGCCGGCCATATCTAATTTTGATATTCAGTTGACCTGGAAGGATCCTGAAAATTCCAATGGAATTCAAGGCAATTTGGAAAGACAACTCCTTGTCACATTATTTATTTTAATTACCAAAAGTTATGTCATACCATCAGGTGGTGACCACCGAATTGACAGCCAACTGGTGTTGATATTTTCCTGGGTTTTACAACGTTCCAATGAAATCGGGAAAAAAAGGAAGGATGAACAGTAGTTAAAATAGACTAGATCAAACATCTCCCAAATGATAGAAAATCTGTCCAAAACATCAGTAACACCAACGAAGGTCATCAGCTGCTTGAAATTACTGCGTTTTGATCGCTCAGCAAGTTGTGAGAACATCATAGCCTCGGTTCCAGACCCCGACAGTTTCATACGTCCTGGCAAGCATGGCGACCTGAAGTAAGACTGTGTCAAAGAGTTAACATTTCTGTCTTTTTTTCATCGACAAAAAAGGTCCTTTGATTTGTATCAATATCGTTAGCAGCTGAAATTATGAATATATCAAAGAAGGATCTAAACCTAGTTTTGCTATTTTTTTAAATCTATTATTTATCAATTAATTGTTTTATACATTTTGTGAGCACGTAACAGATGGTTTTTCATTCTCGTAGATATCTTTTGTCTTTTGAATTTCTGTCTCTTCTCACGACGTCCTTCAGCGTTTCAGCGGCATGATGATATGATCACGTTCAGTTTGAATCGTGTCTTTGTTTTCTGAAACTTCCTCTGGCATTTTTTTATCAAAGTGGCTGACTTAATTGTTAGGCTAAAGAAGAGAAGTTTCGTTTGAGCAAGGACTGACAAAAACAGAAAGAAGTTCCATGTAAACATTTATAAATCGTGTCGATATTATTATAAGAGTGATTTAAGATCAGTAAAGTTACTGTATCCCTTGAAATTATTTATTCGACATGTTTTCTGGAAATATTTGTTTGTTTTCGTTTTCATCGAAGTTAATGTTCGGGGCCAAGTCAAGAAAGCATTTGAGCTGAACGCTTTGTTTTCACACAACTCATTCTTCAGGTAGTCCATGATTGCTTAATGCTTTGTTCGTGATAACCGGTTCATCGAGGGGAATGGACTGGCCATGGTGTTATTGCTTTGTCAAAGAAACTACCCTCTGCGCCCCTACGTTGACTTTATGGCTTACGCAATCGTACATTCTGACACATGCACGTGCGTTTAATATTAAGAGAGCCGCATCTTATGATTGGAACTAAGGCGCCTGATATCCATGTCATGATGCGACTTACTGGTCGGTGTTGACAAGTCTTGTATTTTTGCAGTATTTCAAAGTATCCTTGTGCTATGGGAAACTATATATGCAAATAATTATTCTGCTAAGTACACTGCCAAGATTGATAGCTCTATAAGTGGTTTACTATTTAAGTATGTTACCTGGTCATAAAAACCAGATGCCTCGGCATCGGGCAACTCGAATTTTACTTTACTTAATTGATTTGATAACTCTATAAACAGTCCTGAAAGTTTCATATTACCGGTAGGTGTAGAAGGAAAAAACGAAACAGGAATACTGTCCAAATGCTTATTTTTTCATTTCCTGCACGATTGTCTAACATGCAAATTGAAAATCAAGTCAACTTTTCCTTTAAAAAGAGTTGTGCGAAATGTTATCTGTTCTCAGCTTCTTACAGTTTTATAATTCAGGGTAATGGTAAAACATTGTTCAACTGATTTGTCAAATTTCTTCGGAAAAACTACGCTAATTATGTACAAAATAAATTCCTATAAAAGCTTCCCAAACACAGCAGCCTTTGCATTGTGCGCTTTAGCTGATTCTATTGTGTATCCATCAATTGCATTTAAATTACAATTAATTCTCATCACTTGTGTGGTTGATATTGTATTGATACCGTAAGGAGAAATTCTGTCTTGGTCACTTGTGGGAGTTAAAGGGTTAAAGACATTCTCCACCGGAGAGGGATATGACATTAGAAATTGTTAATGTTATCTCGGACGCACTCTTTTTTGCAGTCGCTCGCTGTTTCGAAGGTGGCCAGCCCAAATTCAGTTCGTAAAAGGGTTAGATAAACTGTAAGCTCAGCGGAACTTTGTGTATTTTGAACATCGACTGGAGATGTCTGTTCAGAGCTCGAAGGCTTCTAGTAGGTGCATATGACTCGATCTTTGTCTAAACGTGATCCAAGACAGAAGAAATTAGGCTTCATTGAAATGTTATGTAATAAATTGTTCATTCAAATTTGTTTATTTTTTTTACTCTGATAATTTCTCTACCGACTGTTTTTAGGGATCAGCAGTTTTCCCTTTATTTACTCTTTTCACTTTACGCCCTGGTACTACATTATGTTATTTATGACCATACTTCAATCTCAAAAACCTCGCTTTTGTAAGGAGGACCATGATACGCAAAAGATAACTGCTGTATGTATCTCTAACTTAAGGACTATTTTTCGCTGTCCTGGAGACAGGCAACAACCAGCCAAAGCGACATGCCGAAGGGAATTTTATTGCCTCTCTATTTGTTTGATCAATTTGTTGCGTTGCTTATTTTTCCCTTTGGTGACAAATTCTTCAATAGCTTCCGGGACAGTGGTTTGCCAAATGTAACTGAGAGGCGGAAAGAAAATCTTTTTCTTCTAATAAACTCAATGATGAGCAAAAATTCTAAAAGTGTATATAAATATATATCAGTAATCCAGTGTATACTTACTTAATGTAACATAATTTCCATAGAAATCCCCAAAATCGTGTCACCAATTAATTTTCATCATTGTCGTCGTTTTTAACTCATTAATATATCATTACTTGTATCTCGTGATCGTAAGACAGACATGCCAGGATATTAGCTCTTTCGTTTCCTCTCTTCAGCACTTTCTCGCATTCTCCTATTTCACTTGCGCGTGTATTGGTGAGTTATTCGTAATGGAGAATTCTTGACAGCTTTCTCCTTTCGTAATAATTTCTGTTGCAAGTCTTTTAGTACTTCCATTGAGAAGACTTTGCTCGGAGAAAGTTTCTAAAAATCCTCCCAAAATTAAAACAACGACTTCATGAACCTCTATATAACGTGGTCCTTGGTAGGACGAACGATATTCTTTGTCCTAGTAAGACGAAAATCTATGATTAAGTACCTTGATATTTTCTGTCCCTTGGGCTCATAAAAGGAAACGTGCGAATAGCGAAGAGAAAAGAGTAGGAAATTTTGCGACCACAAGATACAAAAAATGTTTATTTAAAACTATAAATATATGATTCATAGAACTTCGCAAAGCCAAACGGAGGAAACATAAAGCATTATAGACGAAACTTACATCATATATAAAAAAGCGGCGCAAAATTACTACTGCAACGCATTTAGGAGGGAAAAGTGAGACACTGATAACTCACTGGTAGCTCGATATTTGCTCATGTTTTGAAGTTTTAATTTTTTTCTCTTAAAAGCTTCAGCCGTCGAAACCCACAACCATAAGGATCTCTTGACCGCTGAAACAGCCACCATAAATAACCAAGTTTTGTTTTCGCGTGATTCAGGCGCGAATGTTGACAAATTTATAAACTTTGCTGCGCTCGAGGAAAAATAAGTAATAATAAAGATTGAATAAATAAATCGTTGGCATATTTTGAACCGTAGACCCCTAACATTTCCCCTCGACCCTCGGCTCTCGACAAAAACCTACACTTTGTTCTTTTCATTGTCAGAAAGTGAACGATACAATAATACATAAATTGCTTCAATTGTTAGAAAGACATGTAATAAAAATAATAAATTTAA